ATCTTGCCGCTCTCCGAAGGGCGAGTCCTTTGTACGGGGTCGATGCGATTCTTTGCATGTTCGCATGTTGCACATGTTCGAGATCTCCCAAATAGTGATTGTGCTGCTTGAACTGAGTACTGATGTCTGGACATTGTTTCTTCACTGTCTGTGTATGGGAGTCCTGAACAGCATAAATGCATGCAGGTTTGTTATGTTAATCGCGTTTGCTGCGCACACACACACACGCACACGTGGAGAGTTAGCCAACTGTCAGCTAGTGCCAGAGCTCTGCTCGCTACATGCAACAATGCTGAGTCTGCCAATTAAGCAGCCACCTGGCGTCAAGGAGTAGTAAAGATGATGAGTAGTGTCCACATGTCCACGAAGCTTTACTACAGATGTGCACGCACTCTGAGGTCAACATTCTTTACAGTCCCCCATTCTTTCCGGTTTTGAGGTCCCTACAAGACGCTTTTTAGGCAAAGGGTCTGCCCAAGCGGGACCCTACTCTAGAGCCCCTGCACGGCTTAGACTTGGTCTAGAGGAGGTTCAGGCGCTGCGTGGTGGACAGAAAGCTCAAAGTGGCACAGCTCAGAGAGCTTGGCTTGATTTCTTCATTCGCAAGCCCTGACACCTGCAATCAAAGCTTCAAATCCTGAAGGGTGGCGTCCCATGGGAGGCCCCAGAAGCTTCGACGTGGATGCGAGCTGAGGTTCCGAGGCCGGTGAAAGGAGTTAGGAAACAGCTGTTTAAGATGAGCTTCGCCCAAGGGTAGCAATGTGTGTTTTTAAGGCTTGGGGTATCCACACCTTCATGTACAGGTGCGGAAGGAGACTGACATGTTTACCAGCAGCGGCACTACTGATATCGCCGAAGGTTTGCATGGAGAACGATACAAGAAGCACTGCATGCCGCTGGCAAGGTCTCGAGCGAGTGATCGCGCGGCTGCCTCTTTTCTGCGGGACGGCTCCAGCTTGAGGAACACGGTTTGCGGATGCACGTTTTTAAGTTGGTCGTGGACACGCTGTGCGGGTTTTTGTGTGCGAATACTAAATAGAAACAGGGATAGCTGTGAAGCTCGCTTTGCCCAAGCTGGAATGCAAATGAACGTACCGACTGGTGCATCAAGCAGCAGGCATCACAGCATGGCTTCGTTGTCGGAAACTGCTGAAGTTCCTTCGCGGAAGCATGCCTAATCATTATCAGCACTCCTACTCTCATGGATATGGGCATGTACGAGCGTTCGTTATGTCTAGAGCAGAAACGCGGCTACGTGACGCAGGTGCATTTGACTCCAAATAGTTGTTTGGCTTCATGTAGACACGGCATTCACCTGTGGCAGACGTATTCCTGGCAGTGGTGGTGGTAGCAGGAAGTGAAAGCTTTGGAGAAGGTAGCAGCCGCGGTGGCAATAGTTGTCGTTGCGGACGTAGCGGCGGTAGCAGAAGCAGAAGCTGGCAGACAACGAGTAGAGGACACATGCAGAGCCTGATGCCAAGTGTTTCAGCATTGCGAGCTGTGCAACACATCGCGTTGCTGGCTGCCACTGGGCAGTTTTCAATACAACCTCGGACACAGGGTCTTGGTGTGCAGAGGATTCAGAGTTTCGCAACATAGGGAGTTCAAGGGCCACGAGGTGATACTAATTATTTCGGTGTGTTCAAGGTGTCTAGGTCAAGAGGGTCTACTGTTCTGTGGCTGAGGGTCCTGCGTGCTCAGCGCTTAGGGATGATGGAGAACGGATCGCAGATCAGACGCGAGGAGACGAAATGAAGCGGAAGCCGACTATCAAATCGGGATGTGGGATTTAAGCTCATGGGCTTCAATACTCTCACATAAGAGAGCTTCTTCTGTAAGGTCGACACCAGCAGAAGAGCAGCTGCAGTAAGAACCTCTTCTCGCTGCAGCTGCAACCAACTTGGGAAATCATAACAATACCAAGAGCGTACGCAATAACAGCCGGTAAGACGTTGGTAAGAACAGCAGTCAAAAGAAACAGGACTACGATTACAACCCTAGTGGTCTGTCGAATGAGTTGATTTCCACCTAGACAAGCCTGGTGAGCAGTTCCACAAAATACAGCACTCGCACAAGCATCACTTTTACAATGTCCAAAGTCCTGCTACTATGCGCGACGTCCAAGCAGACAATACTGTCTGCCCGCAGAACTTCGTGAGCTTGAGCTGTTCCTTAAACATTCCATCTCGATGCATTACTAGTAGTATTGTATAGGAGGGCAAACACCCGCAAGAACGAGTGCCTCCCGGGCAACTTTCGTGTAAAACCATCTCACTTTGCATCCTCCCCTTCTCGTGCCTCGTTGTGGCTCACAAGAGCGAGCTAGACAGCTGAAGTCAAGCTTGGGCAGAGAGCGAAAGCATCGCTTGCGCCCAGCTCCCTGCGCATCTGGGATGCAAGCATGGGCTTTTTGGGGGTCCCTTGATTTCACATCTTCAGTTGTGGCCCCGTGCTAAAGCTCAAAAATGAGACCTGGAGTGCCGAAAGTCAGTCAGCCAAGCGGAGATTATGAAGAGCCAAGGCCGAAAAGGATTCGAATGTGTCACCGCGACTACAAAACTAAAGCTCATCCTAAAATAAACCCAACACCCTACGTCCCTAATCCGGATGCCGACACCAGCAAGAAGCTAACACACTGGCCAGCTCAGGCGGATTGGTTTAGCTCCGCTTGGAGGAGGACTCGGGCCTCGGGCGGAGCTTTTGTACACGGGACGGGGGGGTTCAAAGTGGTCTGGTTCCCAAAGTTTCTGGTTTCGAGGCTCGGGTTTCGGGGCTTGGCATTTTTGGGGACTTTTAAGCCTTCGGTCCTTCGGTTTTTAAGGTTGCAGGCACTTGTAGTTTCAGGGTTCTGGTGCCTTAAACGGTGTGTTGTTCTGTCGGTCCTCGGTTTGGGTAAGCTTAATCGACACGTGTTGAGGCTCCATACGTAAATCGTACACCCCAAAACCCTCAAGGCAAGCAGTTCACGCGCACAGCCTCCATCAATCATCCGAAGCATCTCACACTGACCCTCTCCCTCTCGCCAAAACCCCAAGCCATAAGACGAGGAGCCATGAAAAAAACCCTAAACCCCTTAAGAGCGCCGCCGTGTCTGCAGCATGGCTCCCCCAGTACTCAGTCGTAGGCACGCAAAGCTGTGTGACACAGCCGCTGTGATTGCTAAATAGAGAGAGTCTCATCCATCCTGTAGGTATCTTGATTTTTCTCTTGAAATCGAGGTCTTAGCCTGTGAGGGTTTGGGGAGCGGGAGGGGTGGGAGGCAACGTTCTGAATTACGTTTGGGATCTTGGCATTTCCCGGCATGAAGATAATGGGAGACAGGAAATGAAGCTAAGTGCCCCAGTTTGAAATTCCAGGATGCTTTCGGGGCATGCCGCCTTACGGATGTTAGCTATGCCCATTACTGCCACTATCATCGACTTTTGCGGCTAGAACTCTTTTTCTTCCCACTCTCAGTTAGAACTCAGCATTTGCACAAAAGCAGCTAATGTGAAAGTAATGCCCACAGTAGTCGTATTGTACCCAACAACCCCCAACAACAACCAAAACACTTCGGAAGAACTGCAGCACTAGTCACTAGTCATCGCCATGAGAAGCTCCCAGTTTCGATTGCTGGCACCTCCATGCCCATAGCTTCAGGGAGTTTTTCCTGGATGAGGTAATTTCGGATTGAGGGGAGTGTTTTGCCAAAGCTTCGGTTGGGGACTCCTGGCCTTGACTCCGCAAAGTTTGTGACTCTGTGATTTCCCCCCCCCCCCCCCGCCCACGCGCAGGAAGCAAAGCTGACATGGACGGCAAGGAAGCCAAAAGGCCAGCTTCTGTTCAACTTGGCTCGGACGGTTTCCAGTTACGCCTCTACCGAACTGGTGAGTAGAACTTATCACCATCTTCGAATACCATCTGCATCTTGCTAGACGATTGACTTGTCAGCGCCTGTTTCGGCGCTCTCTCCGAAGCCTCGCTTCCCTGCATCCCTTTGCGCAGGCACGTGTCCTTCAGTGATGCGCACGACAAGAAAGCGCAGGAGCTGGGCCACCGGGTGTCAGTTGCCTGTCGAGTGTTCATGAGTTGGGAGCTGAGTGTTTGGGATGCAGGACATATGATTTTGATATTGGCTTTCTGATGGGGACTGGCTTTGTTGCGGGTTGAGGGTGCAAGGTTCGCCTATTACTTAAGACTTACTCACCCGATGCAAGGAATTTGATACGTTTTCGGTGTCCACGTTTAACCGTGTTTGAGAAGGTGGGCCGACTGTGAGGGAGGGGTTTAGGGCTGCACTGCGGGACCTCGTGACCGCAAGAGCCTAGGGCCTAGGGCCCTCCAAGGCTCAAACGTATGCCCCTGCAGTCCGAACTCCCAAGCCAGGACGACAACAAGCCGGAGCCTTGAACTTTCAGAGCTGGGACAATTGCAGCTTCAGGGGATTCCAGGTACTCTATAGAAGCTTGAATTGCATCCTTGCAAGTCAAGACTTAGTCTTACAAACCCCGAAGTTTCTTCATCTCCACCCCAGGCACTGAACTCTGAGTCCACAGCAGGGTCCATGTGTAGGATTTGAGGTGCTGGGAGTTTTGCCTGTTGTTGCAGAGGCATTAGATGCGGAGCTTCCGAGCCGAATCCAGTTTTTGTGGGCATGGTCTTCTGCGACTTTGCTGGTGCCACAGAAAAAGGTGAATGTAGGAGTTCCAGAAAAAACGGACAATAACATAGTGCTGCTCTGAATAGTAGGATCCTCATCCTTATAAAGATCCCTACATTCGGAACCCTACTCTTGAATCTCGGCAGCTCACGGCTCAAGTTCACATCCATGGATGCTCGACAAATCCTCAAGACCGTGCCCCGGTGGGCACGGGGACCTCCGGATGCCTCCGGGGCAGATCAAACACGAGTAACAGCAAGAAGAAGAAAACGAACCAGAAGATTAGTTAATAGTTAGTAATGAACAGTGAAGCACCAAAGTCATTCCATGCAGACACCGAAGCTACACGACACCTGAGCACATGGCCACCAGCAGGAAGGATGTGCTGACTGCTGTGCCCTCCCTCCAAGTACACGACGAGACTGCCGATGTGTTCCGGGCCTTTCTGCGGAACCGCCTGCTCCACATTCCAGGCCGTGCAGCTGCAGTGGCTAAACTTGGGCGGTCTGAAAATCTGGAATCGAACTCCGCAGGGCTTGACTCTAGTTCAGGTTCTCTGCTGGCCCCTTGCAGCAGTGAGTCTTTGCAAGATGGTGAGTGAACAGGGGGAACCCTACGTTCTGACATCTGGAAATAGCTTTCTATCTCATCCAGACCTTATGAAGGCTTCTGGACAAGGCTGCTCCGAGGTACCTAACACGGGGAATCCCTGCCTCTCCCGAACAAGCAACCCGGCAAGGAAGTCGCACACCGGCTGCTGCACAGGCAAGGCAGGTGCTGCAGGAGCGGTTGAGGGACTCGGCTTGCAGATTTGCTATCCAGTGGAGTTAGACCAGATCAATGCAAGGATCTCACTTACCATTACGGTTTGCTGGAGGCCTCGTTTTGGGTGTCTTCACATCCCATACACAGGACCCTGATGTGCTTGATGTCCCTTGTGGTGTTGAAAACTGAGGGTCTAGGGCATTGGGGCCCGCCTTGCGCTTCACGTGACGGGCTGACCTGTCTTTAGGGGCCGACTTTGGACCGTAAGACCTCGTCGCACGGACCTCAAGACTCTAGACTCTGAACTGCCCCCACCGCCTGTAGGGTCTTGCGGTTTTCTGCCTGCTCTGCTGCATCTTCAAGCCACGGGCCGTGGGTAGTATGGATTCCGAACTCGTGAGGCATTTTTTGGGGTAAGAGGAGCGCCACAGTTTTCGGCCCTGCGCTTAAAAGTTGAGCGGAAGGGCGAGAACTCAGACTCACTCCCCCGATGAGCTGCAGGAGTACCTTTCGGGCATCTTCAGACATGTCGTTGTGCAGAACTGGACCTCTGAAACATCTGGCGCCTCGCCCGAAGCCGCGCAGGACGGAAGCAGGTGAACCTGCATCAGAACTCTCAAGAGCTCAGACGGCTGCTTAGCAGCCGAGAGCCTTCTTTACATCGTTGCAATTGGCCCAGGTCACCGAGGTCGAAGCAACTGACTACGTCCTCACAGTCCTTCAACATACATGTACTGCGCTCGACAAGGTTCCTCAGAGAAGCCTTAAAAAACAAAGAACACAGCAGCAACCAAGGAGAGGAACACCTCTAAGACAAGTAAGATAGTGGCCAGTGCTTGTTCTTCCGGATCCGGTAGCTTGCACTCAACTTGCGAGTTGTGAGCTCGAAAGAACGACCACAGGTCTTCTCTGACATCATACACCACCACAGTCGTTGAGTTCTTGGAGGTTTAGGTATGTCTAGACGCGTGCAACAGGCATTTCCCAAGCAAGAAATTTATAAAGCTTCGCTCTGCAGGAGGCTTTGGCCATTTCCCGGCCACCTCGCGGCCAAAAGTGGTACGGCAGCTTCGTGGTAGACGGGGAGGCCGTGTTCTCGGATTTGAAGCTTCCTCATGGTACCAGTAGCTAAGGTCATACAGTTCTAGCAGCAACAGAGACTAGTTTCATCCAGACAGACAAGTCTAGTACCCAGCATGAGGCAGCGGACGACCTCGTTGCCACATTGGCCAGATGCGGTGTGGAAACGAACCCGATCGAAACGTGGCAGCAAATGGTGCTCTATCGCTGAAAGCTTCTAAGTTCATGTATGAGTTGTCGTATACACAAGCATGAATTTCTCGACATCTTTGAAAATCACAACTCTTGGCAAAAACGAATCCAACCAACGACCTTTGAGCTTGAGACGAGGGCCATTTCTGCATGAGACAATCATGCTGTCGCTGCAGTAACCTAGTATGCTCGACAAACAGGAAGCTTGTGATGGCATTTTGGCATTTGCTAGGAAGCCATGCCACGACACGCGTATGACCGGCGAGTCGAAGCAGGAATCGCGGAAGCCGTCTATGATCTACTTCACGTCGGCCTCGATCCCGGGGTATGTCCGTGCACAGAATGCTGAAGACCCCAAAATAAGACAAACAAGCTCTGGTGTGGCGGCCGAGCATCCACATTGGAACGAAATCTCGCAACGTCGCTTCCGGTAGAGCCGCTCGCACGAAGGAGCAGAAAACCGAAGCCGGAAGCTGTTAGGGCACGTTGAAGCTCCCGATCCGTTGACTGCTTCCAGTCAGGACGAGTGCAGAGCTACCGGAACTGCCTGGTGCTTCTTTGGGGCAAATGCCACTTCCAGCAGCATGCAAGGTAAGCCAGAGCACGTGGACCAGCTTGCACCTGGAACCATCACTGTACACACGCAGCTTTGTGGAAGAAAAGTGTGGAAGCTCCGGCCGCATCCACTTTGCCCAAATTGGTCTGACGGAGCTCCGCTTTTGTCTGCCACTTGGTATGGCGGACGATTGGAGCTTGTTTGCGAGGTTCCTTGGCAGACGTGGCACATACCTTTGAGTGATTTTCAGTATTCAGCCAACACTGATGAAGCATGGACGAAACAGCTTTCCGAACGGGAACCGCCCACAACGATGCCCTTTGTCGTGGCGGAGCCAAGTTCAGTGTACAAATTCAGTCTGCACAGATTCTTTCGACCACTTGCCCATCCTCGTAGACTCCCGCATGGTCCCGATGATTTGGCCACAGACCCCTCAGGAGGGCGACCTCCTCTTCGTAGATACGGCGGCCTGGTATCACACCACCGAAATCCCGCCGTTTACAGACTTTACCTTCTCCTTGGCCCAGGACCCAGAAACTCCAGTGAGGAATTTGCCTTTAATCTATGGTGGAATTCTTGACCTGGTTTTAAGGTCGACCTCCCGTACTTAAGCTTAAGCATTTCGGAGTTTTGGGAGACGTTGTCAGCAAGCCGCCTGCGGTCACAGGGGCAGTTGGATTGGGACGCAAGACGGTCCCAATACAAGTTGCTTCGTGGTTCCTAGATCGAGCCAGTTCGAAAGCATGTTGGGAGTGACAATGGCACAGGGAAAGTTTCGCGCAACCCCGAATCTTGACTGAACCCTGCGCCCACACCACCTCCAGGACTTTTTCGAACGTCTTCCAGCCACTGGCGAGAAGCTGGAAGCAGTACAGCCCTTCGGTCCCGGCAGACCGATCAGGGTTCTGGGACTCTGGAGCTTCCCCAAGGCTGACTCGCAAAAACACAACCCAGATTGCACACAGGGTTTCGGGCTTTCGGCATCCCTCACAGCTGCTGCCCTTCTCATCTACCGATGCGGATCTCAACGATCAGACACCCCAAATAGAAACTATCCGCACAAAGCTCTACACACAAGGCCGAAGACAAGGATTTATATCCTATCTGGGCGAAAGTCTGTCCAGTGCCTAGACAAGGTACCGGGTGGTGCATCAACTTTGCCAGGACGGATCCGAGAGCTGCCCTCCATCTCGCAGAGAGCCCAACTCATCCCCTGAGATTTAAATTTCAGTCAACCGGTAGGCCCGGTCTGCTTCTGTTCTTATTTGGAGGGGTTACTGGGTGGGCTCTCTGGATACTGCAAGATATAGCAAGTAGGAGCGAACTGGTTCCCGAAAGCTTTAGAAAGGGATCTCTCCCTCTCCTGCTCCTCGAGTTGGATCGGCCAGGACTGCATGACCCCCACGACGCCACCTCCTGGTGCTCCACCCGGCACTTGTGGCTGCCACTTGCTTTGCGAGGGTTTGGGGCTCGGGGTTGAGGGCGTGGGGCTGAGGAAATGCTGCTGATCTGCAAGTCCATGTGGTTTGGAGGTTTCTGGGACCTGTCCGTGTCATATCCCAGGAAGCTTGGGGTTCAATGCTGCATCTGGCGAAAGGACCTGAGTGCAGGCAATAGGATTGCAGCTCTCCTGAGATTCAATCCCTTATCCAGATTGCAGGCCAGTGCTGCAGCCAAAGGCGGCTGGAAGCTTCGATGTTCCGCAGCTGCCGCCGAAGCGCGATGCTCACACAGCGCCTCGCCTTAAGAAGCGGTGATCGTAGCACAGGGGCCTGTACTGAGTCTTGGTAACTACAAGAAGGTGACTAGAAAGGCTTTATAGGATCTTGCTTAAGGGAGCTCCGATCAAGAGAACCTGCTTAGAATGACCGGTCCTTGCATGTCCTTGCCAGACAGACCTTGAAGCATAAAGCACTATGCTGCACTGGGAACCAACAGTTCGCGACAAGTCGAAGCGAGGCAGTGTGTCATAAGGATCGGCTGAATCTCAGAAAGTTAAAATTTTGAGCCCTGCATTAGCCGGGATACTAGTAACACGAGACATGACAGCCGTGAGAACCATGCTGGTGCTGGTGATCTTGACAATGCTGGGAAGAACGTAAACGAAATACCCTGTGTAGCCCGATGTGTTGCTGAATTGCGTTTGCACAGGCGGCTCCTTCGCCGACTCCGCTTCGCTGCAACCGAGTCGCTACTCGCGCGGTTTCGGCTTCCGCGGCCGGCGCTTTGCGACGACCCGACCAGGGGCCCGCTGAAAAAGACAGGCTAAGTTCTTCTTGCTTAGGAGCTTTGCGCAGTTTACCATACTACCAAGACTAAGAAAGGCTCATTAGCCACTGTATCTCCTGATGAACGAACTTCAAGCCAGCTAGTATGAGCCACAGAGCAGAGGCTTCGGTTTTGCAGGGCCCGGGGAGCGGGGAGGGTTTTTCAGGTTTCGGGTTGAGTAGCTTGGCATGTGTGGTTTTATGAGCAGCTATGACTGCTGGATTTGTGGTAGTAGGGCTTTTCGGGCAGGCTTCGGGTTACGGCGGGCAGGGACGCCTGTCGTAGGAGCGTTTGCGGAAGCCCATACGAGCTTCTGGGACATGGATGTACCAGCACAAGGAACCCGATGACAGCTGAGTGCCTGATAACCTGATCCACAGAACTTCATAGAAGGCGCCGTTGACCCCGGGTGCCCAAAGAAGAGAGCTCGCCTCCCTCCGCTGAGGCCTTCCGGGCCATCCATCCCTAAGGGCCCAGGGGATCGATGGAAGATCCCGCCCAACTACGAGGTCGCCTCCTGTGATATCTTCCTGTAAGGCTACCATTGCGGGGGTGGGCGGTATCACCATGTGTTTGTGTCAAGTTCTGGGCGTTGTAGTTTTCTGAGACTCTACCTACAATGCTGCCTTCTTGCCGGAGAGTGGGGATGTGCTTTTTTCCTGTCGGCTGCGTTGGATTTTGTATCGCTTTTTCGGTGGGCCTCGGACATGTTTTGTCAGGAGCCAGGGCCAGGGCTTTCAGGTTTGGCGGCAGAAGCTTGAAACAAAAGACCTCGAGCATCCGCCCGGTGCCCGCAACCCAAATTTGGGGGCCTTGAGCTTTTTGCTGGTCCTCCGTCCTGCTCCATAAGTGTGATTGAGTTTGGGACTTGGGCAGAAGGTGATAGGCATTTGTGTCAGTCTCATAGTGAAAGTGATAGTGAGGGTGACGTTGCTTGTCTTTCCTGTTTTTCCAACTTGCTTTGGGCGATCTGTCGGTGCCTGGAGGTCAAGCAGCTCATCGGCACAGGCTCCTATGGAAGTGTTTGCGAGGCAGGGGGACTGCCGAATGCCCTCGGATGCAAACTTTGATCTTTCAGGGACATGTACTTCATCCGGAGGTCTTCCGTCCTTCAGTCTTGGAGGAGAGCCAGGGAATCCCACGTCAGCTTCAGTTCCCGGGCAAAGTCCACATGTTTCTAGGATACAGGGTATCTGTCATTAGGGATTACATGAGATGTGGAGCACCTGTTTGATGCTTTTGGGAAGGTGTTTCATGTGTTGGTGCAGAGGTATTGATTGGGTTTCGTGCTTTTCGTCAACATCGCGGGACGTAAGAAACAGGTCATGGTCGTTAGTCCTTATTAGCTTCTCAACCTCTATGTCGAGTCCCCTGATCTTCAAAGTCGGGACTTGAGGCTGTTTCCCATCTGCCGACAGGCCTTTGACACCAACAAGAAGCGGCTCGTGGCAATCAAAAGGACTTTGGGCTTTGGGCAAAGTCACCCTCGAAAAGGCCAACAGATCCTACCCAGATGCGTGAGGCACCGAACCGCTCCAAGTGCTCCTTCTCGTTCAGTAGCTACTTCACTCCCGAAATCCGCAGTGAGGAAAAATCCGAGCATGATGACTCTTGGGAGACAATATAGTTGGTACAACCGGTCCTAGATTTGATCAGTTCCCGTACCAGCATCAGAACAAGCAGAACAAGTGCGCGCAGGTCTTGCTAGAAATAGTGACGAGCCCTTGAATAATGCTTTCGCTGTTGTTCTCAGCAGCGAAACGTAGTCAAGCGCTGCACCAGCAGTTCTGGTTGCAATCATTGCAGCCGCAGTTGCTGTCGTTCGCTACGACGATGTATACCTGTGTGTATATATATATAGAGAGAGAGAGAAGAGAGAGAAATGTCCAGAACTGGTGGTGCAATTCTGATAGGCTTGGTATTCGGTGCGCGTCTATCTATTGAAGCCGGTCATCTACACCCCGCCCGAAAACTCCTCCTTCCAAGTGCCTATCTCAGGGCCCGAGGCAGGAGAGGGCTAGCTCGGCAAGGACGGAGACCCAAAGAGAGCCATCGCATCTCCAGCAGCAGAGAGCCCTCTTATGACTCAACCTTGGACCTTGGAGCGCCGCATGCTTTTGCCAAGCTCGCCAACCAAGGAAAAAAATCAGGCAAGCTCTCAGTGTGCTTACACCTCCTCCTTTGGCAGAAACAATGAAACGCGTGAAATCCTGCATGAAGCCGTCGTGTGATATTTCCGGGCTTCGATCTACATGAAGTGGCCCAGAACGCCCGAACCCAACCCGTCAAAGATGTGTCCCGAAAGAACCGAGACCCTTACTCCCCACTTAACCTGCACGCAGAAGTATCCTGCTTGGCAGGATTGCGCACATGTTCGAGGACCTCATCGACTGTAAGTAGCAGCCTCAGATTTGCACGGAGGTGCGAAACTTCCGAAACCTTGAACTTCTCCGCTGCCAAGGCGAATTCTGCGTGAGATCGCGATTCTCTCCAAGCTGGAGCACGAGAACATTGCCAGACCCTGAGATGCAGAGGCCTTGAAGCTATGCACCTGAAGGGTTCATCTGAAGCAATCTCAGCTCAGCTCGCGATTTACTTCAGGGGCCGGTGTATACACTCGCGATCTTGGACCCTGCAGCGAAATCATGCAGCACCCCAGGCATTTGGAGGGCCGTGACCCCAACTTACATCAGCTCCACGTCCCGATCCCCCTCAGAGCACCGGCTTCACAGCATCACCCTAAAGAAAACCATCCAAGGGCCGACATCGCAAAAGCCCTAAGCCTAAGCACCCTGGCTTGGGTCGAGCTTTGAGATTGGCATCGGCAGAAAGCTCTCTGACCCTCAGATTTCTCAAGATCTGCAGCATAAGTGTAGCAGCAGCTTCGAATCCGGCTTGACGGGAAGTTCGCTTCGCGACCGCAGTTGCCAGACAATGCGCTTCGATGTTCTGGACCTTCTCTCCTTCGTCCGGCTTGCAGCTGCAAAAATTTTGACTGAGGTGCAGATCTATGATATCGTGCCGGCCCCAGCTCATTCACATCCATTGTTTTTGCTTTGGTAAACACCCTGTGGTCAGGTAAGCGTGCAAGTACGTAAGCGCAGCGTGTTATCTATACAGCCTTGCATAATCCTACACAGGGGCTGCGGCTGTGCTTTTAACAGGGTAGGGAGGTCAGCTGCACCTGCTCAACGGCTCTTTCCGAACAGGAGTACGAGAAGCATCTTCTGATGCAGTCTCTCTCCCCCCCACTCTGCGACTTGCTGCACGACAACCCAAACAAGACTTCCCAACGCACTTTCGCGCCAGAATCTCAGGTCGCTCCCAGCAACATTCACACGTCGAGCTCGGCCTGTTGTCAGGGTGATGCCACCTTCCTGATCTCGGCTCTACTCGTGGTTTCCGGGATCAGGGTGGAATGACAGCGATTCCATAGATTCTCCGCACTGCACCGGCCCTGAGAGTTGAAGAAAGCATGCCAGGTTCGACGAGCTTTACATGGTAATGGAGATCTGCGATTCTGACTTGAAGAAGCTGTGCCGCACGGACCTCCCGTGTTGCACTGGTGAAGCCCCAGGTTTCGCTGCTGGGGAGTTTCTTTGTACATTCCCGCCACGGTCGGCGCACTCTATCTTCCCAGGTTGCTGCATCCAGGTATCAGGCCCTAGCGTACGAGGATTCTGTTCTCAAGCATGATTGGTCATGTCCGTCGCCCTCCAGGATGTGACTCTGACCCCGCTCCACATCAATACGCTGTTGTACAACCTACTCGTGGGGCTGAAATACCTGCATTCCGTCCGTGGCCCAGTGATCAAAGATGATTCTGCCCATGGCTGTTGTGTGTCTCTTCTACGCTTGGAGGAGTCGAGACCATATTTCCTCTGGGCCTGAGCTAGGCGGCATGACTGAAAGACTTATGTGCTAATCAGCTTTGACGCCACACGCTAGTTCATCTTGGACCTGATATGCCCCAGCAGACTTCACCAGAACCTTGCAGAGAGCTGCGTATAGTGCAAAGCCCGCTCGTGAACGTTCTGAAAGAAACGGCCTGTTTTCTGCTGCCAAATCTAGATGAAGTTGAGCACAGATCCACGTTCGAGCCGACAGTCTGAAAATAACGACTCTCAAACCTCGTGTAATGGCCTTTGCCACCGCCCCAAAGCACCCAAAACCTTAGCTTAATCAGAGAAGCTCAACGGATCCGAGGCCGGCATCTACCACCGAGATTTGAAGCCGGCCCCTGCCCTGGTGGTACGCGCGATTCGGGCTTCCCAAGAAGACGGGGTGTAACTGCCTGTACAAGAAAGAGATTTGTTAGGTAGTTGGCAAAGAGCTGAGACGGGCAACGGATTTCGGATTGGTTCATGTTGTGATCACTGCAGGTTTTTGTTGCGCATCGCTTTGTTGTCCTGCCCTGGAAGCCGACTTCTGCCAAAGCAAGCTCCACATCTTGCTTGCCCAACCTCTCGGTGCTGGTTGTGCTCCATTCCTGAAGACGGTCATGCCTCTTCTCCTTCCCATTCTCTAGGTTTCTACGATTCACCAGATTTGCCCAGAACTTTCTGAAGGCTTCTGCCAGTCACGCGAGCGTAAACATGGCCTCGTCTTAGTGACAGGCCTAAAGGCCTGGCCTTCCTTGCATTTGGATCTATTGGCCGCTGCGTCTCGTCTGGGGACCTTAACGTACCGAGGCCAACTGCCTCGTCAACCAGGACATGAGGGCTCGTAGAGGCTTTTCTCCCAATGAAGATATGAGCTGTGCACGCATGGCTGTTGTTCAGATTTGCAGTGCCTGAGTTGGCAGTTTAGGCGGCGGTCACCTGAAGTGTGCAAAGTTGCAAGAAGAGCACCAAGTAGAAACTTCGAGAACCTGCGGAAGCGGCCAGACAACCAGAACATGCACCGATCTCTGACATGAGAAGTGTGGGCTTTCCAGCCGCCGAGAGCTCTGAACCCTACACTTTGGGGGGAGGGCGGCCAGCCCCCGCACCTGCAAAACCTAGGTCATGATACTGGTGGAACTAGCAGCTATCCTTCTGAATACCTTAGTAGGATTTCATTTAATTATCACAATACATGTTTGTGTACGGACATCTGAAAGTACAGATCAAACATGAACGCCAGCGCTAGCAGGACTGCTCCGTGAAGATCTGCGACTTTGGCCTCAGCCGCGCCATCGAAGCAGCAGAGCAGCCGCATTTGCATGCGCCCGGGGACCCGAGCCATGGGGCACGGGCTCATTGAGTGTAGTGTAGAACGGAAGGCGTTTGCTTTTCTTTCTGGGGAGATTCCAGCTTGTCTTTTGCAGATCTTGGTTACAACTTACAAGCTTCAGACTTAGTGATACGAAACTTCGAAGTTGAGGGTCGCGCCAATTCAGAACTCACAGTATTCGACCGTCTTATAGATTCGCGATTCTGAGAGTTTGCGTCTTGGGCTTCTGCTTAGGCATGCTGTAGAACCCCAGTTTCAACGCTCTAAAGTATATGTCTTCCACAAGGCGGTGCTTGCGATTTGCATTTTACATCACCTGCTTCTAGCACCAGCACACAGCGAGTCGCCCACAAGGCATCTGGGCTTGAATCCTACATCTGCTGCAGTTCTTGTTGTGAGCGTAGGCCGGGGCTGAGCCCAAAGCTTCCCAGAAGCCCTGCGGCCAGACATTTTGAAGGGTCCGTCGTTTAGAGCCTGTCTTTCTTGCAGGCAATGTGCCTTTCCGATTCATGTGCCCAGAATCGAAAGCTCAGATAAATGATAATAGCCTTCTGGAAAGTGACTCCAAGCACCGTGCCAGCGCCAAGGCTTCCGAACACGCTGCCGACTCAGAGCTTTCGGACTTTTCGGGGCCGCATCAGAAAAGCAACTCGTATAAGGTCCTTCTTATAGCTGTCTTACGGCATTCCTTGGTTTCGCTTAAGTAGGGAGTAGGGCGCAGGCAATCTGGGATGATGATGATGATGAGGAAACAACTGCTTGAAAATGCTCGAGGTAGTACAGCTGCAAACATCGATGCCACCTTCGTGGAAACAGCAGGAAAGTCGTGAGGGAATCAAATTAGAGACTTCAGAGATTCTTCCTGTGATCCTTCAGAGCCTTCTCTGAGGCCACGGGGTGAGGGAGACCATGACGCCGGGATCTCAAGTGGAGTTTCTTCGAATGAGGGATCCCGTAGACGTGGGTGTGGAAGGGTCCTTGAGCATATGGGGGTCTTGCTACCTGACGTTTGGGGCAGTTTGAGTCCAGCCCCATACTGTTTACGCTGCTTTCTGAAACTCTTCCAGGGCAACTACGGCTCCACCGGCCTTTCCTCGAAGAATGTTTCCGGTAGAATCCCACACGTTTTGCAGCGATTTTACCAGCCATGCCAGAAGGGGCACATCCTGTTGGTCCTTGATTGCAGAAGGATAGCGCCACTTCATGATGTAGTGGACTCCTGCGAGGGGGCTTCCACATGCGTCTCGGGAAGACCTTTTGAAAGCCTCGTTCGGACCCCGCAACACAAATTTCAAAGGAGGGCGAAGAAACGAGACAGGCAAAAAAAGCGCTGTATTGCCGAGGCCGTGCCAGGGGTCCCGCACACACAGCGCCTCAAGAGGCTCCCAGCTCCCAGTCTTCAGTAGAAGTTTGACAGACATGTGCAAGCTTGTCGAGATGAGACCCGGAAAGCTGTCTGCCGGGGAGTTTCCATTGAAGTGCGCTTCTTGGTTTATGTTTGGAGCCTCGCGTCTTGTGTTGTCGCACTTGAGGAAAATGCCAGAAACCATCGAGGTGAAAAGCGTCCCATTTCCTGCAACCTTAGAATCGCATTCTAAAGCTTGGGCGCGGAACCTTCAACCACATAGCTTGTCCCAAGACCCTAGCGTGGAAGCGAAGTCAAGAACACATATGTGTTGCTGGCAATGAGTGAGCGGTAGGTTCCACGTACGGGCTGGAAGAAAAAGCGACAACAATCGCAGGAACCTGACTGGACACGTGGTGACCAGGCGCCCTTTCCTGCAGTGTGGTGAGAATTGCCAGGGCTTCAATAAGACGTGCACATCTTGTGAAAATGTAAATGATTTGCAGTGGGTTGCCAACCAGGTGGCAGAGATGAGCACCCTTATCATGCAGCCGCAGTCTAGAGAGAGTTTGTCATCTCGGTGCTTTATCCGTGCTGAACGCATGGTGCAGTTCTTCGGCTCGCAAGCATTAGTCGGATTTGCTGAGAACCTCGCACCCATAGCCAGTCACTGCAGCATCAGCACCACGGCTTTTGCCAGTGCTGCTGCAGCTGCTGTTGCTACTTGTTCCAACTCCTACTCCTGCTACAACTACTACTACTACTACTTCTACTTCTACTTCTACCACTACTATACTACTACTATGTGGGTGACAACAGCTCCTGCTACTCGACTGCCACTCGCTGCTCCTGCTCCTGCCGCTGCTAGCGCTACCGCTACTGCTACTGCTACTACTCATGCTACTAGCGGTACAAAGAGCACCAGGCAGTTCTGATAGCTTGGGGAAACCCAGATTGCCAGGTGGTACCGAGCCCCAGAACTCATCTTGCTGCAGGAGAACTACACCGAGGTGGTTGCTTGCGGTTTCAACGTAGCGTTCTGGATTCTAGAGGGCCATTAAGGATTCAGGGTATACGCAAAGGGGAAGGCTTGCATAGTGCAATGATGACTCCAAGGTTTCCTTCCAGCTGTGCCTTCAGAAACTCAGGGACCGTTTGCGAAGGCTTTGGAGGCCAAGCAACGTCGGAGCAACGCAACTTCAGCTGAAAATGCGCACCGTGCCACAGAGATTGCGGCGCCTCGCGAAGACAGAGATGAAATGCGTTTAGTCCTAATGTAAGATTCCAAAGTAACCATTATGTGCGTTGCCACATGGCTCGGTCGAAGTTCAAGACGATAGACCTGCGAACAGATGCTGGAACCGTGCAGCCTGAACAAGACGTGATGCTTCGCCGGTTGAATCAGCATGCGAACAGTGATTCGTAGTTTTTTTTCCTTGTCCTGTTTTCCTTGCAAGACCAGCCAGGCGATTGACATTTGGTCAGTGGGCTGCATTTACGCCCGGGGCCTTCCTCCAGGAATGCTCAGATCCGCTGTTAAGGGCCTCCTGCAAATTAGTATCTCTTGGTCGTCCTCAATGCAGGATATTTTTTACGTGTCTACGAACACACTCTGCAGTGACCAAGAGTGAGTAGCCCGGAGCCCAAAGGCCCTTAGCGGGCCGAAATCCCCCAAGAGGTGCTAGAGCTCTAGTTCGCTTTCTTTCCCCCCTGCCCCCCGGAGGCGCTGGAGCCCAGAGAGGAAGCTTTCCGAAGCCTGCAACGCCCCGAGGCGGAGCTTCTCGGAATGCTCGAGGGCACGAGGACCCAGGCAGCTTGGGCTTGGAGTTTCAAGGGGAACGGGAAGCCAGAGGTCTCTTCAAGCAAGCTTTAGGAGCGGAATTCTTGGTGATTTCTGATGGGTTTTCTGGTGTTTAGGGTTTTGGGTTTTTAGGGTTTGGTCTTGTGGTCCACTCTTCAAAAAGAGGAACCCCATGAGTTGCAGAGATCTGCGCTCGAAGCATTTTGCGGCACCGGTTACTTTCCACCAGGGCGTCATTGGTGATGTATAAAGACCGAGAGTGGTCCTAGCTCTCGCAAAAGCATGATGATCATCACCCTTCTGCTGTGCGAGAGAATCTCACTGCACGACGACGTGCAGGACGACATTGCATGACATATCAGTGCGAGTTTGTTACCATGTCTTCTGCTGATGATCCGTGGTAGTCACATGGACATGACCAGGTGATTGTCTCAGCAGTCTCAGGGCTTCCTTAGGATCTCAGGCTCTGGGGTCGGAGAGCATTCAAGACCCAGCGAGACACCGTGAGCCCTTCAGCCGATGCAAGGTGTCCGAAGAGCCTTAACAAGGGCAAAAGCCGAAAAAAACAAGATAGATAAATGACAGCTGCAAACCAAAATTTCATTCGAAAGTCAGGGACTACTGTCCATGATCCCAGAGCTTCAAGACGTCCCTGCGACATCGAAGCCCAGCCAATTAGTGTCAAAGGTTTGAGGGCGGACGGTTCCAGGTTTCTCACGCGAAGCTCTCATGCCAGGATCGAGGGCCTTTGTTCCCGGGCTCGTCGTGCTTCCCATTGTCGCCCGATCACAAACACAAGTGCCTTGGATGCGGCCTATGGAACAAACAGTGAAGCCTCTGTATGTACCCGGTGCATGTGCAGAGGAGCTCTAGGTAGTCGAAAGAAAGCTCAGGGGGAAGCGTGAGGCGGGGCAGCCGGATTCGAACTGGTATGCCCACCAGGCTTTTGCAATTCTCATGGTCTACGGCAGCCACACCTCCAAGATTCAGAGGCACTTCCCCTGCTTGCCACGCCAAGGACGGACTACAAGTATCACACGCCCTGCGCCCAGCTTGCCGTGCTTCAGATACAAGTGTTGTTGATCATGGAGCGAAAGGCTTTCTTTCTCCATCCCCAACTCCAGACCTTCTCCCGTCTGATGTCCGAGGCGAGGGAAGCACGACCAGCTGAACATGATTTTCAACCTCCTGGGCTCCTTGGCTTGGGGGAGAAGAGTCTGGGGGTTCCGGGCTGTCCGCCAGCATAAACGGAATGCTTCTGCGGAGCCCGCTGGACGAAGACAAAAGCCTGGGTGTTGGAAACCTATGGAAAGCTGGTTTAAAACTGGCAAGGATTTCTTGAAAAGGATTTTAGACAGCATGTTAGCTATGAGCGAAAAATTACCCGATCCCAGCACTGGCCCTTGAGCAACTGCCAGGTACGCCAGGAGAGCCAGATGTGGAGCAGCTAGAGCGGGAGGACGCAAAGAGGTCACGGAGCTTGGTCTTGGGTTTAGAAGGGGTGATGGAGTGAGGAAAAGTCATGGCTTGCGGTCAGCCCCAGCTCACCGTGAAGCATGTCTTGGGTTCGACAGGCCTTGGAGCACAGCGTATGGATGTCGGGTAATTGAGCTCACAACAATTTGTAATGCGCTGGTGCTCGCGCTATGAATCTAGCTCATCTCGACTTCTTGGTATGACGAGTCTTGCTGACCGTGAAGACAAGGTCGTTGGATAGTGAAAGTGTTACTACTCCAGCCACGAGCAAGTTGTCCGCGGCAGACGGCTACTCACTCATCTGCCCAAGCGAGCTCATGGTCGGAGCGACGCCAACTGTTTCAGAGAGAACCGGTCATGTGCAGGAGGGCCTTCAGATGGCCTGAGCAGCCTGGGGAAGAATGAGCAAGTAGGGCGCATTGGCGTGGAAGCAACATTCTACCGCGGGAACCAGGGCTTTCAAAGTCTGAACTCTCGTTGTCCGCACGTCGGTGCGACAGAACCAAGGATTCAAGTTGCAATCCTTGCCACTTACCGGCCACCCCCTCCCCTAAAGGTGTGTCTGGTCCTGCAAATGGTCCTTGGGTAGAACCCTGCTGCCGTTGAAAGGTACATTCGTTGCTTCGCAGCGTGCCAACCCCAGATGTCGCAATGTTTGCTGCCTTTGTGCTTTCAAGATGAGAGAAACTGCCCTGCGCCCGGAGAAACCCGAAAGCCCAAGCCAAGTCTAGCGAAGTCACGCTTTTGTCGTCGCCACAGAGCCTCGTCGTGGCAAAGCCTTGGATCACAGGTGGCGGTGAGAGCGAAGAAACGGAGAAGCACATGCAATGTCAGTACTGGCTGGTTGCCCGGTTATCTGAGGCGCGATGGCGACGGGTTGAGCGTGAAATTCCCCGGGGTGGAGGCTGGGATCATGAAGTTTGTGCTAGCTGCGGGCTGCCTCGTTACATTTTCCATCTCCGAAGCAACTCCTACCTGGTCCACTAACGGAGCATGAGGTTTCGATGGCTCTTGAAGCCTGGTAACATTGACGTAGGCACCCTCGCCCAAAACTCGCACTTGGGGTTTTCTGGGTAGAGTCGCCAGGCAGATTCCATTGACATCCTGAACCGCATGCTGCGGTTCAACCCCAAGGACTCCGGGACCCTGTCAGAGACGTTGAGACGAGCCCCACCCGAACTTGAGGACAAAACAGCGCTGTTGGAGAGCATCCCCTTAAGTTGACGAAGCCGAGCCAAAGCGAGCCCACCCTGCAAGCCCGTGACTCTGCGCGAAAAACCGGCATGAAGACTCGACGAATGCCCGCCGCAGGACCGCATTGCAGTGACCGAAGCCCTGGAGCACAGGCGGAGTGGGGTGTCTATTCGTGTTGCGCGACGCAAGGCACAGGTCAGGCGGCATTAGCTTAAGGGGCTGCCGATGCTACTTCCTGAGACTAAGAATCCTGCCTGGCCTGCATTCTGCATCTCAGTCAGAGGGTGGAAAGGCTCCTCGTGTTTCTTCTTTGTGAATGGTGCCCCTCCTGGAGGTTGTTCACGACCGGACCGAACGTCATCCGTGACACCTCCAGGGAAACGTTCCTCGGCATGTTCAGCTCGTGCAGGTTTGGGCATAGTTGATGGTCATAGCCGAAGCATGACTGCGCACGACAAAACTCGGCAAATTGAGATTTTGGGACAAGGTTCTGCACCCCTTGATACCCTGAAGCATCGGCAGTAACAGCCGAGGTCTGCACCGAAGTACGTCACATTGGAATTCGAAAAGGCGGCCAGCACTTTGGGGTTTCCCCACGTGATGACACCAGTCGGATTGTGGGAAAGAGTTCGATTCTCAGATTGGCTCAGTTCTGGTTGCGACTTTGGGATGGTCGGACTCGGAGCCCACGCCGCTGAGCGTCTAAAGCGCATCCATCATCAAGAAGCAGCGAAGCAGCGAAGCAGCGGTAGTGTCAATTTTTCCACCAGGAAGAAGCGAACGGTAGCGGCAGCGCTGAGCTCCAGCTCCAGAAGAAAAAGAGAGGAAGAAGAAATCAGACACGAGCGATCCTTGCATTTCCTTCTTGCAGGAGCCAGACCTGGATGAGAAGCTCCTCAGGAAGTACTTTTGCAAGGCCCGGCTGGGGTTTGCGCATCAACAGCTTTCCATCTCCGGTTCAGGGCCCGGGGTTTACGGCTTCCAGTGCCCGGGTCCAATCAAATCTTTGCTCGTCTGCGTTTTCAACCGGTGTCGGGCTGAGGCCCCGCCCTTCAATTTCGCTTCGTTTGGTCAACACCAACCTGGCTTTTCTGTGGAGTTCTGCCTCGTTCGACGAAGTCCTTGCGGTGACCATGTACATAAAAGGCGCACCCTTCCTTCCTTTCACACTGCAGCTTTATAAAGAAAACTGTTTTAGGAGCAGCTCAGCCCAGAAGACGCCTCCCAGCGCTCGGAAACTTCCAATCCAATATCATGAAAGATCGGTCACACTCGAATAAGCAAGCCTTCACACAAAGCCTCAGCCACACGCAGGAAATCAAAAAGTATCATCCGGAAATGCCGGACATGTGAGCTCCTTCGAGCGCTTGGGAAGGTTTTGCGATCCGCCCACGCCCCTCCGGAAATAGGCCTAGAGATTTTAGATGACACTGGGCCATGGCTTCCGATCGCAATACCCAACCCTGCTCTACAGGGCGTCTGCCACTTGTATTGATCAAGATACTCCAGAGCAGCACCAAAGACCACCATTGTTACCAGGATATTGCGACGAGTGCTTCCGTCATGAAGACATAACATAACTGGCATTTTTGGCACCTCATACATAGCAACATGCTGAAAGACGTCTTGGAAGCTGTACAAGAGACTTACAAGATTGCAATCCAGGCCGTAGAAATCGTGGTCGTAGCCGTAGTATGGTAGTAGTATGAAGTGGTCGTCGTTCGTAGTCGGAGTAGTAGTAGAAGCAGTAGAAACAGTGTAATCCTTTTCGGAGTAGGAGTAGGAGCTGAACGCAGGAAACCAGGCTAAGAGTACCAATGGCATCAAGTCCAGAATTACCCATGAGATGCCAAGCCGCGTCAGGGATACGGTGTCAAAGTTTCAACCCTACGGACATTAATGTGGATCAGGAGCTATCCTGCAGCTCACTCCGCTAGTGATGTGGCTTGCGCATGTGCCCCCATCCTTTGGAACATATTCGCTGACCCATCACTCGCATCTCGGTGCATGGACACGAGCCACTAGCTGCACTAGCTTGTAGAATCAAAGTGGTGCCTCCGAATCAGAAGCCCTGAATCTGAATATCTCTGATCCAGCCACAAGGGCTTTGCAATGTCTGGCAGCACAACCGGCGCGAGCAGAAGGCTTCCATTCGACGTAACAGACGTTAAGCAATTGTAGCTTCTCGTGGAATGCGAGTCTTGCATTCAGAGCCAATCCATGCTAGAGATCATGACTTAGCTTCGCATGGCTTTGTAAGGCACACTTCCTTCGAATGGAGCCCTAGAAATCTAAGACGACCCTGCTGCTGGCTGAAGCCTCCTGGAAGCCTTCTGCACTTCCTGGCTGGACAGCGGGCAAGTCGTAGGTTAGGCTTCCGGGTCATCGTTCGTTTTTTCAAGAAACACTACAACTAATCACGTCTGAGGGGCTGTGTCTCGGGCTTTCTAGAGTCATAGAAGGCTTAACTTATTTAGGATCAGCGGACTTCTCAATGGGTGTTTCAGATAGGCCATGCTCCTTTGCAGAGTGATAAGGATTCTGTCGAGTTTGCCGACCAGCGCAAGCTGTGTCTAGTTATCATGCTTACTTTACTTCGGCCCCAGAGACTTCCACGAGGATCCTGTCTACGAGTGCCATCCACAGTGGTGGCAACAGGCTAATGACTGTTGTCTTGTTTATAGAGCCTCTCAATTTGCAACAGTGGATCGATCTGTCGCAGCAATCTCCTCGTCAATGGGATGTTGCTGATGTGTGCAGCAGGTGCAGAGCTTGACCTGAACCCGAAAACCGACACATAGTTTAGAAGATGCCTCACGATTCGACAACTCCTCATCTGTAGGGAAAGGTTGTTCAGCGGTGACAGGGTGAGATACCCTCCAGTCACGAACCTTAGTTCCAGGGTTGGCCCCAAGAGTTCGCGCCATGAAGTGTTCATTGCATCGAAAGTCTGCTGTGGTATTGAAGTCATACACTTAGAGTCAGAGAACTTAAGTGCAAAGTCACCCATGCCGCTGTCCAGAAAAGATCAGGTGTGTGCAAGCTTCGCGTCGACACTCCCTGGCTGTTTATACGCAGATCCCGGACTCGATTCGAAATAGTACCCTTGAGTGAACCATAGAAATATTTGAGTAGCTTTCTGACTACCTTGGGTTACAGTTTGTACTTGCTGCAGGATCGCTAATCCCGAAAGAACAGGTCCGCAGTTGCCCTTATCAGTACCACGATAGCTTGTGGTACTCGACTCGGCTTGGGCTTTTCAAGCTGTTTTGGTTTCGTAGGTTTCAATGCTTTTCTGCATGTTGACCGTGAGTCGAGTAGTCCCCTACACAGTACGGTCCTTTGCATACAAGTTCGGCAGCCGGAGCTTCAAGGAAGCGTGCTTTGTGGCAGACATCTTTCGCATTTCCCTCTTGCAGCGTCACGAGGCTACGTTGCAATACAACCAGGCAGGCTTTGTTGTAAGGCCAATGGTTGCCTCGATGTGCATAAAACTCTCATTGCTCGGAACCACAAATGCAAAGAAGGTCCACAAAGTTCTTACGAGACCTGGACGTTGCAACGGCACCACCAAGACAGCCAAGAGCCAGATCTCTAACACATGCCACGTGTCTTTTCCCGCACATCGACCCCAGAAGAGACTGTAGAACAGCTCATGGCTCCTTCGGGAGATAGGTATAGAAGCCTCAATACTTGATTAGATCACATTTCAAACGCCTCTTTGATCAGTGTATAATGTGCTTCCACCACCCCCAACCCCCTTGAACCAGCTCGCAAGCGTGTCAAGTGGGTTTTGGCAGTCTGGGGATTACTCTTCCGGGAACCTGGTGGCCACACTCCAAAGCTTGCATGACTACTCGGAGCCGCAGCGGATGCAGGATTGCAAATTTGACCCTTGACGGGCCTTCGGTGGCAAAAGGTTCCGCAGCCTGATAGCCGGGAGGTCTGCCTTCCCGTGAGGACCTTGTGCTCAGCTCTTTGGTGAGAAGAGAAGATGCTCCTGAACTGTGCTCGCACGACTAAGAGGCTCAAGCTACAGTACGACTGATGTCGGAATTCGGAAGTCGGCAGATTCCGCGGGCTCGCAGCAAAGGCGCCCAAGCACACTCGATGCCACACCGATGCATTGCAAGGCCACGGATGCCGAGACCGCTTTCCAAGTTTCAGGGGACATGAATGGCCAAGCATGGACTACGTTGCTGAAAGAGGTGTGGGAACCTGTAAGGTGCTTGACTTTTGTCGTCCTTCCATGCCGCCATCGCCACTTTGCGAGAGGCCCCGCCGATTTCATTTGGAGCTGCAAGGAAACTCTGGTTTTCTTTGTGTTTCAGCGCGTGGAACTCAGTTGTTTCCAATGCACCGTTCTTTCTGAGGACGTTGGGCTTTCCTTGCCAGTTCTGGGTAACCATGTTCCATTTGCAATCTGAGGGCCGAAGGTTTGAGGGAGGGCATTCAACTTTGGAGTGGCGCAGTTCAAGAGGTCTTGGCAAGATTCAGGCTTGGCGAAGTGAGACGGTACGAAGGTGCAAGGTTGACTGCCCCGGCAAGGCACATTGAGGATGTTTCGTTTGTCCACCAATGTAACTGCTTGCTGTCAGAGTCGAGTTCAACCATCGCATTTAGTATGCGGCAACGAGACTAAAATCTCAACAGACTTATTTGAGCAGATCTGCCGAGAATGATGTTGCTGCCTGAAGGTGGCAGCCGCATGTGCAGCACGTCTGACTTTGCCACTTAGGTCGTAGCGTCCTTGACATATGCTAAGCCGAGAAGGTGGCAAAAAGAAACATGGTAAAATGAACACGGCGGCAAAACCATCTGACCTGGCATGTGAAGCTTTATGTTTCGAGGTCGGGATTGAATGCTGCCGCTGGCATTCACTCACCAAGCGCTTCAGCTGGCGTGAGTCGTGAAAAAGTTGTTGAAGTAGTATGGTTAGAAATGTTTTCCGGAAAGGTCTTCTTCCCTGAGATGTCACATGGGGTCTTCGAGGTGTCCACCCGCAGTGTAGACTTGGGGCATAAGCGATAGTGCGTTTCATACAGCTTTCAAACAGAGTCATGTGCATGCAGATCATATTTACCAGAGCACCTCCCGGCTGGGAGCCGGGGAAGGAAATCCCAGGAAAGCAGCAGAATTGAACGTTGTGTTCCAAGTTCTGGCACTTGGACTGGACCGTGCACGGTACAGTAGCTAGCAGTCACGTCGAGAGGGGGAGGCCAGTGGCATCTTTGCATTGTCAGGCCGCAAGATACAGAAAGTCCTTAAAGCCGTGCATCGGTACAGATTCAATTTTGTGTTGCCCTTAAAGCAACGCGAATCAAAGGTGGGGAGGTTTTGTATGTCCAGACACCTGAGATGCCGACGTCAAGGCTTCCCATGCACTACAGCAGAGCCCACATTCCGGCTTTCACAGCATAGCCTCTCTCTCCTCTGCTGCGGTTGGCGCTGCCATCGCCTTCCTCAGACTGCTTCGGCTCGAGCACTGCTTGGGCCCCTCCTCTCCAGAATGCGAAAAGCCACTTGGCAGCAATCAGGCTTCCTTTGGAGGAATCTCTTTACCCATGACATGACAGAAGCTGCGCTCCTGGCTTTCTAGGTGCTTATCCTCCTCATTCCCTTGGGCCTCGCCCAGGACGGAACGTTGGGTCGGGTCAGTGGCCGTGTTGCAATTGTATCGAGCAAGTAACGTGCACAGGCGATCACCTTGAAGCGTAGAGCCGTCAACCTGTGGCCGTGACATGCCGTGACTCTTTGAATCCCGGCAGCTGTGTGCATTGCTTGGCGACATGGGGAATGGGCCCCCCTGAGCCAGCCTTGCCAGCGCATGAGTGCAGGAGCCCCCACTTCACTCGGATGACGAGTGCGCAGAGGACCGCACCGACTGTGCGCTGACCGCCCTGCAGCACCGAGGCATGAGCATCGTGTCACAAGCAAAAGGCTCCGCTTGACTCGTTGAAGCCTCCTGTTGGCAGGTGTTCTGACCAAGAGAATGGACTGCCACACGGCGGTGCAAGGAGAAGGATGCTTCGACGAGGTGGAGCGTTGACAGTTGAACTGTGTGAACTGTGACACTGGCTCAGAGCTGGAGGTGACGTGGGCCCGAGAGGTCGGCCTCCGCCGGGATGACCCAGAGAGAGAGCGCGAGAGAGAGAGAGAGAGACAGCGAGGGAGAACGGAAGGCAGAGGCAGAGGTAGAGAGGGCCTCAAGAGTTCAGCAAATGCGTTTATTCTTAGCCGAGGCACGCACCCAGACTGGTATCCGGGTCTCACCGCACAATCTTCGGTGGTGGCCTTAGTTAAAGCAACGGTAACGGACGCAGGACTGAGAGGGGCCTCTTGCCGAGGTAGCGGACTTCCAGCTTTTGATTCACGACCAAGAGCCAGGTGAAGTGACAGGCTTTACGCCCACTTTCAATGAGCGTATCATCAGCCTGACAAGGCAAATGCCCGATACCTTGTGGTGCACTGCCTCGAACTCATGGTTTCAACTCGGCTGTCGATCTAATGAAAAGCTCTCATCGTTGCAGTTCGCTGAGGCCGCGGCCAAAGGGGTCTCCGGCGGCTGGCAGTCTTTTAGCCCCCACGGAGGGTGGTGGAAGCGTCACCATAAAGGCTCGTGCCTGCTGACTTCCAGATGGAAAGCTTCTCTCAAACCTTCCGAAGGTGTTGAGCTACAACCTGTTCTGGTGGAACCTCTACGGTGTCCGAGGCGGTAATGGGGAGAGCGCCGGCCACCTGATCAAAGCTGAGACCGTGGAGGACACAGATGTGCCGTTTTGCAAGACAAGGAGCCTTTTGTCTCCAGCGGCAGCCTTCCAAACATACCAGGACGGGCTCTTCGATGTCATGGGTTTCCAGGAATGTGAGAACGGCATCCGTGTACTGGAACCGGTGCGGTACCTGTAAAGAACCTGCACCTTTGTCTACACCTGTCTGGTGCACACCAAGGTGGGTTTGATGGACAGTTATGAAGTCCTGCAAGGCTTGTGCCTTGTATTTATGCTGTGTGAGCGGCGAAACAGGCGGCACCTTTTGCAGACATCCGCTGCAGGTATGCACGCCGTATGCCTCGCCTACCGGAAGGAGGCCTGGCGCCTGCTGTCAAGAGGCAGCAAGGACGTTGGGGAGGACTTGATCGCTGGCGCGTGCTTGGGTCATGCATTACCGGGCTTGGCTGGTCCACAGCAGGATATGAAGTCCCACTACTACGGACACCGCGGAGTGGTTTGGATGCGCCTCGTTCACAAAGCCACTGGCAGACGCTTACCTTGCACTGGTCTCTTGCACGAGAGACACCTGAGCACACACTGCAAATTTCCTTTTCGGGTTTGAGCTGAGCTCTGCTCCGCTGTGCTCTTGCTGCTGATGACTTAGGAAAGCTACTTTTTGCCAACCACCACGGGCCGCTGGAGGTGAACTCTGGTGGTGCCCGTGGCGGTGACTCCATCGCCAAGAACCTGATCGAAATTCTCCGTAGCAGTTCCGAACCAGGCTGGCAAAGTACAGGAAGGCATCCGCCCTTGCAGTGCGTGCACGCTCAGGGGATTCAATCATACTGGTTGGAGACTTCAACGCGAACTCGGCGTCCCGCACCATCCAGGACACCGTCACGGGCGAAGATGTGCGTGGTTTCGTGACGGTTTCGGGTGCCCTAGTTCTGGAAACGACCAGTTGCTGGAAAAGAGGAAAGGAAAAGAGCCATTTACCAACTAGAGGGGACCAAACTTCGCTGCAACTAACGACGAGACGATACCTGGCCGACTCCTACAACATGCCAAAAAAACTCCATCCAAAGCACTTGCCTCAAACAGGCTCTTTGGTCCCGGATGGTGCTGCTCTACGGCGGTGGATCCTTCGGCGGAGTGGTGCCTTGCCTTCAAACACTGCAGGAATCGGTGTTTGAGAGAGCCTCGACAGCCTCGAGAGCTCATGAGGACAACATCTTCGGCAATATGGACGCTGCCTCCGTCGTGCGACGCAAGAATCTGGGCAGCGGAGGTGACCAGATGCAGTAAAGGACTTTCGTAGGCGGCGCGTCGCAGGCTCGAAGGTCGGGAAGTTCCACTTTGTTCGGATTGTTCTGGGGGGCATTCTTCCGAAAATCCTTTCCTTCCTTCATTTGTGTGGAGGCAGCGACCACGATGCCATTTCAGTCACGGTGTCCGTGGGAACACCAGCACCGGAAGAGCTGCAGAGGCTTGCAAAAGACATCAGACGAAAAGAAGCCAGAGCTTTGGCGGTACCGAACAGCTCAGGTCGCCGCGCCGAACCGGCGAGGTGCCGAGTGGTGCCCTCCAGGCGACGCGGGGGGGGGCGACAACAGAGCACTCGCTTGGGCGGCGCTTCGGATCGCAAAGCAAAGCAGCAAATCGAGGCAACGAATGCGCTGAAAGTGAATCCGCCTGGCGACGACTGGCAGCATTTCTGGTGTGGACAGCTGGAGCCAGATGTGGGCTATGCACCTCAGAAGTTTGCTTTTTTTCACAAACGCAGCCATGCAGGGTCCTGTCCTCCAAGACAGGTACCTCCACTGGGCAGCTGGTCCCGAGTGATCAGCCATCGACCTGAGATGGGCGACGACTTCGATGTCGCAGCCCCACAGCGCTGCTGCCGCCTTTGCCAGCGAGAGCCCAGGCTCGGCAGAGGATGTAAAGTTTCCATGTCGAGACACAGCCTCAGCTGTTTGGCAGGTGTAAGTCGTGGACCTGGAAAGAGGGAGGGCCTCGACGCTGCGAGATGTATGGAGAAGTTGCTTGCCAGCAGCTTTGACAAGTTGAATATTGCCACAGTTGTCGGGTGGGAAGGTCGTGTCATCATCAGTAGCTGTCGAGACGGGGTCGCCGGTTTCCCAACTATTAGGCAGTGGCGCGTCGACAAACGTGAGAGGCACACCAGCACAGAAGCAGCACCAGCGACACCGCAGCAACATGTGGTCGTCATAGTCGCAACAGCATTGATGGTCGTGTCTGTGGTGGGGCTGCTTCCGCTGTGGTTGTAAGTAGTGGAATTTATGGCTGTGGGTGGTAGTCGGTGGTGACATTATCGACATCCACCATACTCAATGAGATTATCATCATGACCAGCATTTTCGTCAGGATAGCAACAGTGACATGTGGATGAAGATGGGTGTCGACGACGACAGTGAGTGTGACAGTGATGACGGTTGTGATGATGATCATCCTGATGATGACGATGACTGTCTCTACTGTCTTGAACCAGATACACTTCTGTGCAGGAAATGACAAAGATGCATTGGTAACAATGGTGGCAATTCCCAACAGGGAAACGATTTGTTGTAAGCCAAATACCAGCCTGGTCATGGCAAGCATATTCAGGAGGTTGCCGTGCTTATGGCTCAGGCCCCGAGCAAGAAGGAGTCGATGACCGGCCATGTCTCGGGTCTACCAGCCAGTGAAGCAGCACGAGAGGCGCAGGTTTCTATTAGTTCTACCAAGCCGGTGTTGTCTGGGAGCACCTTGCTTCAAGTAACTAGTTGCGAACCAGGCAATGAAACCGCTTCAACAGATCTTGCTGGATGCTGCCAAACCTAATGGTCAATGCCTGTTTCCTTGAGAGAGGCCGTCCAGGCAGCAGCTTCTGCACTTCGCTCCCTGCCGCAGCCGTGAAAGCGAAGCGGATGTGAGACACACGCAGAGCCAAGGTTGCGATGTAGGGCATTTAGGTTGAATCATAGATGGTCTTTCGTTGTTGTTCTTTTTTTGTATTGTTCCTCCTCTTGGAAAGCGTTTGTATTTTTGTATTTCGCTTGAGACAATGCTAGCCGTCAGGTCGATTACTCTTGGTCAGTCATGTTCTTCATGCAATTCGTGTATCGCCTTCGAGTTTTGGGCTTTCAGTAACTGTACTTTATCATGTTAGCTGTGTATGTTGCAGGTTGATTTTTAGATGACTCACTTTGAGTTTCGCTGGATCCAGGCTTTTTGTGTGCTCATGGTG